TCTTATTTACAGACAGCGCTAATCATTAGAGATTTCTATTTCCTTTAATAAAAATTAATAGGTAATCTTTACAACACACAAATCAGTGTTATTTAAAAATTGCTGAAATCGGTTTCGTCACAACATAGAAGCGTGGTCTGACTTATGAATAAAATGTAATTCAATAATGTGGCATAAAGGCGATATGAATACAAGGAATTTGTGATTCTGCTTCCATTGCTCATTCACTTATCGTCACGTTGTCTGCATGAATTACTTCGGACGAGTCAGTCTGTAGTGCAGGAGGAATTCATGAATTCACTCATTAATAGTTGTTCTTTTATTCAAGTTTATGTCGTAACAAGCACTGGGAATTTCTTCAGTGTCTAACCCTTGTTGTATTTCGTCTATACATCTGATATTAGCAAGAGAAATTGATAAGCAGCATTCAGATATTACTCGACAATATGCATCATAACTCTGTTCACATTTTCGTCTTCGATTGTGCATTTCCTTTACAGATAATTATTCGTCAACCCTATAACAGACACATCATAAATCAGTATTAAGTAAGACATGGTTTTGTCATCATGCTCAGAAGAGACACCCATCGTTTTACTTATGAAGATATTGTGCATATTTAATGTGGTGTTATACACTAATCCTGTATACGTTCAGAAAACCGGTAAAAAAAGACTATCAACGTCAATTGTTACTCATATAATTTTTTCTCTGATACCTTACACAATAATACGTCACTTCAGTACAAAACAATGCTACCTATAGTCCAAATAACCTTTTATGGCTAAATACAAACAATTTATATGATATTCATAGTTAGTTTAACGCTTACTTCTTTCTAATTACATTTTATAAACGACTACCGACATCTGTGTTTGCCATCACCATAATCAAGGAGATGAACCATATATAATGCTTTTTACGGCTTATTTTCATGAAAACTCAATCTGTAATCTATTTTTGACTAGAAAAATGGTGATTTGACTTGTTTGACTTTGTATTGTTAAAAAATAACCATATTACGCCAACAACATATTTACTTAGGTGGTGAGCACGAAATACGTCAAACTACTTATAAATTGAAATAAAAACTATCTTCCAATCACAAAGATTACGAAAAGTCACGTATGATGGAAAAAAGGCTGTTAATAGCTGATAAATAACGAAACATAAAATCCACGACAACACGCTACATGTGCGCGAAAACCCGTAAACTAACACGCATAGTGTGCCGAAGCATTGGTGTAGGCACCTTCAATTAACCCGCTCAAGAGGAAGCTGGCCGTTCACAGAAGTATAATGCATAAGAATAAAAATAAGCCATTAGCCTTCTGTTCTTACTACACAAATCTAAATCTGTGAAATGAATTTTGAAGATTGTACGTTGTTGCTAGTTCTCAACTATTTGTCTCCAATTCGAAAAACTCAAGACGTTACCGGATGTAAGTGTAAAAACTATAAATGAAGACGTATTTCGCATTATTCACAAACATTCGACTCCTGATCCCGCGCTCTATTTAAAAGACAGTATTACTGTTTCTCGTTGAGTTAATTAACTGTTTTGATGGTAAATTACGCATCAAAAATACTGTTTGCATTATAATTGCATCTACCCCAGTTAAAGTGATATTGTATTGAGTGTTTCGATTTTACTTTTGTGTTTTATTGCATCGAAGCATACTTAGTCGACTTTTGCTTGATTTATTTAGTTAAGGTTTGAAAATTCTTTTACATATCCTGTTTTTGTCACCATTCTAGTTGATTTTCAAGATGGCTAGATCCGCTCATAAATGTGGACAACCATATTTCTTATTTCCCGTGGAGGAAGGGATACAATGTGATGAGTTTAATGAGTGGTTGCATAAGATGTGCACCCCATTAAGCCCCACTGCAAATAAAAGGTGCTCAAAGCCCAACTCTCATTGGCTTGGTAGTTTTTGTTGCTCGAGCAAAGTATTGCTTATCCAGGAAGCAGTTAGTCTCCTAGTGTTGTCTAATAAGAAGGTTGATGAGGGCTGTACTGGCAACATTGATACTGATGGCAAAGATTGCGTTAGTGTTATAAATGCTGTCTTGGCGCAAGCCAGACATCTAACGGTGCAACCCGCTATCAAACCGTCTACCCCGAAACAATCAATGAGTAACACCTCATTAGATATTGGTGACCATGTTGCTACAGCAGCAACCGGTGACCCAGATAAAACAATTACTGCCCCGAATTGTTCTAATGTGGATGTTACGACTGATGGAATATGGATGACACGAAAACACAGAAGAAAAGGAAAGACAGCTAAAACTAATGATCGTTTACTTGATAAGTCCTTGGTGGACTCTCAGATCAATCCGCCAAAGTCCCATAGTAAAGCTTCGTCTAACATTTTCAGTCACTTGCTCGACTCCCAGGACTCTGTTACAATAAAAACTAATCGTAAGATACCAGTAGTTAAAATACAGGATCTAACGTCACGGTCGAAAGCTGTGAACACAGTTTCAAAAGAAGCTAAATCCCTACCTACTTTAATTATTTGGATTCTAGAGGAGTCGAAAGACAACGACCTTACTAGAAGACATGCACATTACCTGCAGGGGGAGATGTAATATTATACGTTAGGGATCACTTTCGTATACAATCAACCATATCGGAGGCTCATATCAGTGGCACATGTGAGGTTGCATGTTGTAAGATTAAATCTAGAAATGGGTTAGTGACTATAGGGGGAATATACAGTAGTCCGTCTTGTCTTGCTGACGACTTTATCCTATGACACATCTGTTTTTGGAGTATGGCAGAATGTTGTCTCATCATTTAGGACTTCAACGCACCGCATATCGACTGGATAGAGCTTACAGCTCCAGGTAGTGGTTTCGATAGCGACCTTTTATCTACTGTTATTCAGTGTGCACTTGTACAATGTATCACAAAACCGACACATATGGATTTCAGTCATGATCCGTCACTGCTGGACTTCGCCCTCACCAACCACTGTGAGGATGTCTTTGATATTCAGCACCTTCCTCCACTAGTTAACAGTGATCACGTTGTAATTCATTTTAAGTTTAAGACACATGGTATACAATTCGTATCTGCTCCACCCCGTCCCAATAACTGGCGAGCCAATATTCCGGAAATCAGAAACTGTGCTATCTCGACTGATTGGCCGGTCGACGTGGATGGATTGATCGAAGATGAATGGAATAAATTTAAGGCTACATTCGAGTCCGTAACGTCGCCGTTTATCCCATAGTCAGCACGTTAGCTATCACATTGCCCTCCATGGATTAATAAGGAAACTCGGAAGCTGTTAAAGCGTAGGAAACATTTCTGGGACTTATTCTTATTGACAGGTCATGCACCATTTAAGCGTGAGTACCGAAAATTCCGTAATATCTGTGAAAAAACCATAGCAAAATCCCGTATCACTTACGAACGACAGTTAGTATATGATAGCCGTACTTGTCCGAAACGATTGTTTTCTTATGTTAAACGGCGAATGAAATGTAGTGATGGTATTTCCTCGTTACTGTTACATGAAAATTCGGAATTACTAACTGAATCAGATGTGGCAAAAGCTGAGGCTTTTTCAGACTATTTTAGCGAAGTCCTCTCTACGTTTATTGTAACAAATACTTGTCCCACTCATACTGAGATACCAACCATTGAATCTGTACAGGTGACTGATGAAAATGTCCTTCCGTTGATAACTAACCTCAAACCTGGTAAGATACCGGGCCCTGACGGGTTACATTCATGGTTGCTGTCATCTCTTGCGGACATTATTCCGCTCGCGACACTCTTCAACATGTTCCTTTCACTCGCTCAACTCCCTAGAGATTGGAAGGACGCTATAGTCAGTCCTATATTTAAGGACGGTCAGTGACAGATAGTATTTAACTACCGGCCTATCAGTCTAACCAGCATAGTCGTTAAGTTACTTGTAAAGATAATTCGGGTTAGGTTGATAAGCCACATAGATTTACACAATCTGTTAGCTCCTGAGCAATACGGATTTGGTAACAAGCGTTCATGCTTGACTAACATGCTTATTGCGAGGTAGGATTGGACAGCAGCCCTAGATAACAGTCTGTCTGTCGATGTGATATTGATAGATTTTAGCAAAGCATTTGACAAGGCTTCACACGTAGGTCTTATGCAGAAGCTCACGAGCTTCGGAATAATAGGTACTGTACATGAGTGGATAGGAAATTTCTTATGTGACCGCAGACAGAGAGTGAGGGTCAGTGGAACGCTATCCGATTAGAAGCCGGTCAAAAGTGATGTACCCCAAGGCACCATCTTAGGCCCTCTGCTCTTCGCCCTCCACGTTAATGAGTTACCGCTGTTGCTTAGGTCGTCGAACTTATTGTTTGCGGATGACGTAAAAATCTGGAGAACAGTAAAACGTGAGGCTGATCATCTGGATCTCCAGGCTGACTTAGACGATTTAGTAAGATGGGCTCGATGGGCCGCTGTCAAAGGTTTTCGTGCTTTACGGTCACTTCGCCGAGCGTTCAAATCTTTTGAAGATGATATGTTTTGAATTTTATATCCCACCTATGTAAGACCACATTTAAAGTACCGTGTCTAAGCAGCTAGCCCATGTCTGGTAAAGGATACTAACTCACTTGAGCGTGTCCAGCGTGTAGAAACGAAATTAGTGGAGGGTCTTTCTAGACTCTCTTACGATGAGCGTTTAAAACGCCTAGACCTTTTCCCCTTGTCGTATCGTAGGACGCGAGGTGACCTTATACTGATATTTCGTATCTTTAATTATGATTTGGGTGTTAATATGTCTTATCTTTTTGCTCCCTCCAGCACCAATAATCTCCGAGGTCATAACAAGAAGGTTCATAAACAGTGATCTAATAAACTTAAAGTGGGATCCCGTTTTTCTCATCGAGTAGTCAATCATTGGAACGCCTTACCCGAACAAGTAGTATCAGCCCCATCAGTGAATATTTTCAAAGAGGAGCTGAACATACACTGGAAAGCAATCTGCCAAGATTAACACAGGTTCATCAACCTACTATCCTTATCACTGTAGGCAGTTTGTTTAAAATCATAAATTGAAGGCCAGAGTTCATCTGGTAAATTAAAGCGCTTGAGAGAAAACATCTTAGGTTGATAAGTAATTGTATGTGTATCTTAATAAAAACGTGAAATTCAGGATTGAATACTAGTACAAACTAGTTATATGGATCAAATTAGTGGTAATGGGATCAAAGCAGTAAGTGATAATGAAAATCAATCTACTAATGGTGATGTTATCCCCACAAGCATATTCCATTGGAAGTGTTATCAAGGTTACCTCAGGACATTTCCTGCGATGATTAAGTTATGCGAACTATTGTGTATCTTTATAGCGTTTATCATCAGTTTCTTGGATAAGAATTTCTTATCAGTTGGTGGTTCATGGCTGACCGTAACAACTGCGTTATCATTCATTGTCACCGCATTCTTCCTTGTCTTCCATCTCTTTCTTCTGCATCGTTTTATTGCGGCTCCTTGGTGTCTAATCGTGAGTGCTACTAACTACTAATAATTATATCAGGAACTTGCTGCCTATGTCATCGTATGCATACTTGTGTTTTCAAATGGAGTACTGTCTGCAGCATATTCTCACTTAAGTGGTATTATAATAGCAGAAACGGTAAGACCAAAACATAGCCGTTTTTAGAGTCCGTTTAATATGCACTAGATATGTGAGACTGATGGAATCGGTTCGCTTCTTTTTGTTTTAGAAAGTCTTCTCTATGTAGAAGACGAATTTAAAGATCTAGCTGCCTCCATGTTCTGTAAAAATAATAAGTTGGTTGACCCTTTTTTTATATTATAAGGTACAATAATGAAATCGCTAAGGACGTATGAGACAGTTAACTGTCTCACACGTATATCTCCGACAGTAACATTATTTGTCTATGCTTAGAAAAAGATTTCTAGTCGTTCAGTCAGTTATCTTATTCTAGTCATTTTAGAGAGCACTGATATTGATCGGACCATTCACCCTTCAAATCTTAAGGTCTACGGATACCAGAGACTGATTGCGTTTACTTGATAAGTCATTGAATAAAGAGTTCATGGTTAATAGATCCGATAGCTTGACATTTTGATACTCACAGTAACATGTTGGACTCGTCCGTAATTATGATAGGGAATGAAGTGGGTTGCAGTCTTTCAACGAAGCAATAAAACATGTACCCATTGGTCCATTTTTTAAGTTTAGTACAATACGATCTGCCCTGTCTTCCAGAAGTCTGGTAGTCCCGAATTCATGACTCATATGTTAGCCTATTAATATTCAACTTTTTAAAGTCACTGGTTTATTAATACGAGATCTTGTTCTTTTTCAGATTTTCACCTTCGTGGCTCTCGCCATTTATACAGTCGACAGTTTAGTTGCCTTCAAAATTTTTACAGCTGGGCGCTATTATGATTAAAGTGCACTAATTCATGATTAAGTATTCTATTGTTTGTTTGTAATTTTAGACAGTCCTTAATACAATTCTTAAGATGTTCTTGTTCGCTAACTTACCACTTCATATTCAAAAAATTTAACATTTCAAATTAAGATGTGACATTCAAGAAACCTGACTTCAGTATTCTTGAACTATTTTTACCACATAACTACAAAATAGATCCTGTTTGGCATAATAAAATCAAGCAAGAAACTAACACACCAACTTACACAGAGGTTTTACTCTTTGTTTACCTTAACTTACTTAACATCGTTTTAGGCTTATCAATACAATATTTAAATTATTCCTGTCACTAAAGATTTCCTGGAATCACCTAACAAAAGACAAGTCATTTTTCTGTTTTGCCGTCTTGTTTACATAGGACGAAGCATTTGGTGACTCCCATATAGTGGCTTAACTACTTTTATTTATTTAAACATAAATATTAGTACAAAGAGGCACCGAATAGATGTGCCACACAAATCATTCAATTTGTGCGAGGGCTGGGATGCTGCCCGGGTGCCTAAACTGAAGCAGGTGGCTTCCTTAGGGGGCCATATCCGGAGCCTTCAACCTAAAGGTCTAATCCACAAGGCAGTGGAGTAACGTCAGGGGATGCAGTTCAATGGCAGCCGGTGACCAACAATAGGTTCATACACCATTTGTTCCTTCAGGATACTGGAGCCCATGTACACCATTAGTTTGGAATCAGGGTTCCCCAACTCCCCTAGGTAGACTCTCCATGTCCACCAAGCCGGTTAAAGCGCCAGACATTCGCTTTTCATTCTCTCAATTTCGTAAACAACAGTAATGCCGCAAGAAGGCAGTGAGTAGGACTTCCCTGGCAGTGGTTGTATGCACGTGTCCATGTGGATTTCAAGAGGGAATGCTGATTCGGACGTACAAAGGATTTTGGGGGCTTAACTAATACCAAACAAATGTAAACTTGAGTTTGGTAATAGTTCTCATATATATAAGCAGAATACAAAGATCGTTAGTCTATCTAGCATCCAAGTGAAAACCACTATAACGTCTATAATTATGACAAAATTTTATCATCAGATATCGAAAATCCACGGGACCAGAATTAGGATTCATAGTCGGGAACAATTTAAGAGCGCTTCCTAACGCTGAAAAGGTATGACCATGAATATCAACTCATCACGATTGAAAATTCAGTGTGTATTCCAGTAAACATCTCACAGCTAGTAGCAAACATGCTTGATTTTAGTAGTTCTATGTATTATATGAATTCATGCACATTTGACTACATGATAAGATATAGGTAAATACTGGTTACTAATTACGAGTGAACATAATAATATGATGGTAGGTAAAGCTCAGTTTTAAACAGGATTCTTCACTAACCTTGTAAGTGGTGATAGATGAGACAGAATTAAATTGGATAAGCTAAGGCGAACTAAGATAGTCTTTGAATTTGTCATTTGGTATTTAGAGCCACTTGCGTTCATGTTTGAGATCTCAGAAACTAAGTTGTTGATCCTATTCCAGAACGGGTTACAATTAAATGTGCAATCGTACCATTTCTAGTTAACTATTATTACTATCATTTTTTTGTATATTTAAAACATGTGCTTCAAAAACCGCTCCCATACGTTTGAAATAATACTCAACAAAATGTGCGAATTTTATGAGTTGCGGATAACTGTTTAGCTTTTTCTTACTGTTTGTTTTCATAAGCAAACACGCTCAAAATCATATTCAATATGTAGGAAATCACACCCTCCCGGTTGAACGTTTTCACTCTTTATGTTTACGCAGTCAATATCATAAATTAGTCACTTGCTGAAACCTTTCCTAAAACTACATATCTGTGTGAACATACCACATCTAGTAACGCATCACGTATCCCTTTGAATAAATGTAAAACCATGGTAAGGAGGTCGTTGGAAAAGAACATTGATGGAATCATGTTTTGGTATTTCTAAACGGGTATATTTATTTCATCAAAATTTGATCTTGGAAATTTTAGCTTGAAGATTTGTTTCTATACTCAGCATTACCATCTTCCCGATTAGTTTTAGAGTTGAGTGTACATTATAAATCTACAATGATGAGCGAACGAGATTTACGTTTGTTTTCATCTATTGAATAACTCTGACATTCCAAACAATGCCAAAGAGCATTAAATGAATTGAGACCCAATACAACATTTAGAATAAAAATTAAAGGCTTCAGATTGTTTTCCCTTCCGATTTGAACAGCTTTAGGAAAAGAAGACCAAAGCCTTTTATTTGCACTTTATATAGTTGCTTTTTCATTGTTTGTCTCCTTCGTATTCTCGTAAGTTTTCACCGTTTTCTGGTGCATATGACGTGACGTTAGTATTGTAATAAGTTTGTTTATATAATAAATAATATACGCAATGTGTGAACATTTCAAACTACGAGGAATTAAAGTATAAGACAACATCATACGTTTGATTGGTGAAAATAATAATTCTAAATAAGTATGGAACTTTACCAAGCATGGGTTACTTTTACTAACCATTCACTATGCAAAGGTTTATAGTATTTATACATCAAGGAGTTTAGGAATTTATGTTTACCCACAATCCACGAAATTTAAATCTCATACTATCAGGGAGTTGTTAAAGACAAGGTATCTTGATCACTGTACATAAATAAGTCGACAAAGCATTTTCTAGGCACATTTCTCAACGCTGGGAGTTTAGTAAAAATACATTTATTTTGATGAAAGCTAGGTATTTTACATAGAAATTAAAAATAAAATAGTAAATTGTAAACTAGGAATGAAGGATTATTAGGATATTAATTATGTAATCCTAATACATTTAGAAAATCATATTTACCACACGGTATAGTTGATATTGGCGCTCAAGTGTCTTCAAAGGCATTTATGATATGAAACTTATTTTAAACAGTTCAGCAGTTTGGAAATATTATCTGCATACTTGTAATATGATCAGATCAGTAAGAAATCGATCCAGATAACGAAACAAAAAATTATACGAAATCAGATGTTGGATATTACGTTAATTTTGAAACGAAAAATCGTTCTGCAGAGCTGTGATGCTGTTTTAAATGGCTGGTTAGTATGGAAGTATACTTTTGCAAAGCGTTTGCACTAGAGTTACAGATTCACTGTCACGACTTATAAAGATCTGTAGATTTATGGTAAGAAAGAAATCAAGATACATCTGGTTAATTAAAAACACAGCTATTGTAGAGGTAAAGAACCCGGAAAGTTGGACTGAACACTTGGTTAATCTTTTTAGCTTTCACCAATTGAACAAAACAAGAGGCAATAAACCTAGAAGACAACCAGTAGTAATGCCGACGATCCGTCCCTAAAAATAAAGGAATATACTTTGAGTGTGAATAATCAGTCTTAATTCCAATTACAAATAATACAAGCTTAAAACAATTTGAAGTATTTTACTACCGCAAGATTATTTATAATGCTGGGGATTTAGCACATCGGTTGCAGTATTGACACATGCTAACAGTCAAAACAAGAGGAATTATTCACTAAAAGACACTACACTTCATTAGAAACTTGGATCTGTAATACAATCAGAAATCACTGGTTTAACCAAGTTTTACCGCTTTGGGGTCTAAAACCTGATCACCATATATGGTCATAAACAACATAAGAGCAGGAAGTAGTGTGCACTGAACTAAATCCCCATAACACACATGCGCAGCTGGTGGAAATTAACAAGATGTATAGCGGAGTAAAAGTAGTATTGGTATCCATGATATGTATCGGAAAAAGAGAATTTGAAGAATAATGTTACATTCCAATATCTAGAAGACGGGAAGTCGATACATCTAAGTCACTGTAAGCGATCCGAACCCTTGAAGCCAAGATATGTAATTGACAAGAATTTTCATATATTGTTCATAAAATTCCTTTTTCAACAGGCTTCTGATGAAACAATCGGAAAACGAGATCTCCTGTTCATAACTTTCATGGTTTTTCTATCGGACTTAAAAGTGCTTACTAATTCGACCATTTTTCACACTGAGGTGAAATAAATAATGTAAGACTACCCGACCAACCATTTCATTGCTATGACGAAGGGACCATGGTAATTAAATTCAATCCAGTTTTGGGCAAAAAGGATTCGTCTTTTAGCTGATAGCCTAGAAACATATAAATCCCTACAAAATTCCTTGGTTTAAGCTACATTCCAGAGGAAGCCTATGAGTACTACACGAAGAAAGTTCTTGGCTTTGCTTAGTGGTCTTGGATGATTAGTCTATATCATATACCTATCGTCAACATTGTTAAAGCGACCAATCTACCACATTTGGTAGAAATTTAAGATAACGTGTAAAGACAGGTAGACTTTTTAATGCCCTAAATACAGCTGTTTTAGGATTTGCGTTAAAGCTGAGGACAGTAAGCTCAGATGGTGCGCGTGGCCTAAGAACGGTCAGGGCAAATTTCATGATGAAAAGGATCCTTACGGAGGCAAAATGAATCAAAGCTTCTAATAATTACGACTGTACAGTGCAAATTTTACGGAAAATGAATGACAAAGATTGATTAATTAGGTGTTTATAATGTGTGAATTAAAGTTGTCAGAGTTACATAACAAATAAGTATTCCTTACGGTTGAGCAGAGTACCGCGCTTTTGTGACCGGAAATTTCCAAATGAATAAAAGGTGGAGTAGGAAGTCATCACAAAACACGAATCAACAAATGTGGCAGTTACGTTGGAGTTACTTACTTACGCTTGTTACTCCTCATGAAGGAGCATAGGCCGCTCACTAGCATTCTCCATCTAACCCTGTCCTGGGCAATCATTTTCAGCTCTTTCTAGCTGTTATTCATCATTTTTATATCTGCTTCTATTTCCCGACGTAATGTGTTCTTTGGTTTTCCTCTTCTCCGCTTCCCTTCAGGATTCCAAGTCAGGACTTGTCTCGTGATGCAGTTTGATGATTTCCTCAATGCGTGTCCTATCCATTTCCATCGTCCTTTCCTAATTTCTTCGTCAGCTGGAAGCTGATTTGTTCTCTCCCACAAAAAGCTGTTGCTGATGGTATCCAGCCAATGGATGTCGAGTATCTTGCGAAGACAGCTATTTATAAATACTTGTACCTTCTTGATGGTGGTTGTTGTAGTTCTCCAAGTTTCAGCTCCATACAGTAGAACTGCTTTGACGTTGGTATTGAAGATTTTCACTTTGATATTGGTTGAAAGTTGTTTTGAGTTCCATATGTTCTTCAATTGTAGAAATGCGACCCTTGCTTTGCCAATTCTCGCCTTTACGTCCGCATCTGAGCCTCCTTGTTCATCGATGATGCTTCTCAGGTATGTGAAGGATTCTCCATTAAGTGTGATTGGATTGCTGT